TACCTGAAAGTCCTCCTGCCCGGTCTGGGGGCGACTTGTTCTTCGTCCACAACCCCGCGGCGTTCGCTTCACCGCCCTCCTCAGCTACGGTGAAACGAGCAATTACAGAGACATGACGCCTCGTTACTGTCGTGAACATAGCTGTGGGCTGGGCGTCCTCCCCAGGCAAGAAAGGCACCAGCAATGAGCTTTTTGGCTTATTACGAAGAAAATAAAATATATCAATATAGAGAACTCTTTTTATTACAGAGACGTGTTAACAAACAAAACCAGCATTAAATTGCCACAGAACACAAAATACCCGGCACACAGAGCAGCGTATTATAAATTTGCTGTGGTTTTATGTGTGGTGCAGATATTTACTTTTTGAATCACAAGTGCAGGTTCCCCTGCCATTTGAAAAGGGAATGAGCAAGAGTCCCTCCGTGCCACCCGGGAGCAGGTGGGCGAGCGCAGGTGGGTGCGAGAGGGCTGCAGCCCACGCCATGCTCCTCCAGACCCACATCATTCTCCTCCGGACCCACGCCGTGCCCCTCTGACCAGGCTGCAGCACCTGCCCGCAGCGGGGCTGCCCGGCCGTGCTCACAGCCTGCGGCCGGTCTCCATCCCCGCTGCCCGGGGGCGGCGCACACGGTCCCGCCTGTCCCTGTGCCACCCGGCACGTTGTGCAGCTGCCGGTTCCCAGGATCTCCGTCATCTGACAATGGGCACCAGGATGGGATGGTGCAGAGTCGTTATGGTACAAGAAAGGATTTCCGTGCCTCTAAAAGTCTACTTTGGAACAGTTAGAAAATGGCTACCGCTTTAGAATTCCAGGATTCTGCCCAAAAGTGCAAGGACACTCTGTGCAGTCAAAGAGGGCAGAAATACTGGACACTCCATCATCCCCCAAGTGCAAATACTATCCCTTTCTAACCAGAATCAGCTGTAAGAAAGCTGAAGAAGCAGATACCAACAGCAGACTGTGCCAGTGGATGCTCCGTTCATGCCATGAAAGGATGGACCTTTGAAAACTGGGCAGTACCTAACCAGAAAAAAACAGTTAAATTAAAAGTTTCCATTAATACTGGCACATACGGACTCATCTCTGGCACTGGACCAGGTTGCCCATAGAAGCTGTGGATGCCCCATCCCTGGAAGTGTTCCAGGCCAGGTTGGATGAGGCTTTGAGCAACCTGATCTAGTGGAAGGTGTCCCTGCTTATGGCAGGGGGGTTGGAACTGGATGATCTTGAAGGTCACTTCCAACCCAAAGCATTCTGTGATCTCCTGAAGAATATTTCGTTGCAATCAGTGTGCAATCAGAACATAAAGTCTCTTAGAGCATCAAACAGATATTTTTAGCAATATAAAACGGGGCATGCTTTTTCTTTTTTTTTTTTATACATATATACATATATTTAACACACGTTACTGAAACACCTAGGGAGAGGGATGAGCAGGAGGAGCGACAGCCGCACACAGCAGGGAGCTGCAGGGACAGCCCGTGTGGGCAGGTGACTCTGCAGGGGACAGATCTGCCCGGTGGCACTGCTGGCCCCGTGGGCTGGGGTGGCAGGGGACACCTCGGGTACCACCTCAGCATCTCTACGGACCCCGGCAACGACCACCGGCACCGCGTGGGCCAGAGTGACACGCGTGAAACCAGCACACGGTGGTGAAGGTGGCTAAGCTCTGGCTTAGCTCCATTTTTCCTAAGGCCAAGCACAAAGGGCCTTTCGACTGCCACGGGAGCAGCGCTCGGGTGCTGCCAGGCTCTCCAGAAACGGTCTCACAGTCTCGCCGGGCAGAGGGCTGCCACCCTCGCTCCTTCCCGCGCTAAGCAGGAGCCTGTGGGGTGAAGGTGGGCCAAGGCACAGGAAGGTGACTGCCCGGGCATTCAACGGCACCACACCACCTGGGTCACTTCTGCCATCACACAGGACTGAGGAAGAGCTCCTCCTCCTGCGCTAACCAAAGGCAACCTCATCTCGCACCCTTCATCTCACAAACTCGTACCCTGCCGTGCAAAAATGCTGCTCGCAGGCCGATGCCCAC